AATTGTAATGTTACACCTTCCTCCTTCAAGATGAATGTTTAAGATACACATACTTTGCTAGCTGACAAAATGGGGTCATTGCTGTATAATTATTCTCTTTTTGCAGCCTTCATTCAGACTGGATCTATTGATTTAAATTATTTGAGTTTTCTTCCAGCTCTTGGATGACGGAACATCACTAGATTTATACTGTAATGATTCACTCTTACAGCTTTCACCCTGGTTTTGTCTGTTGATTTGATTTGTTTGAATTGGTTTTCAGCTCTTTGGTGTTGGCAGTCGCGGGCGATCAATTTTGCTCATGCTCATGCTCTAAGTTCATTTTCAGCATTTCGATGATGAAACGTCTTCAGATTTATATTATAATGGGGCTTATTACGGATGTCACATCACGGTGAAAAGTTGTCACTTGTCGTCACGGTGAAGTGATTCCCATTTGATATGTACAGTAATCACGGCTCTTATTCTGAGTATCACTTGCTTATCACCGTGTAGTGACACCCGTAATAAGGCCCAGTGATACACCATTTGGTGTTTGCTTCGGGCAAATCCAAGTATAATGCATGATAACACTGATTCATTTAAAACCATGGTCGCATCACCAATCAAGGTGAATCCTGATCCAACGAACCCAACTTACTAACAAAATCTCCTTTTCTGTGTCTTTTGTTGGGGTGCAGAGGTAAACACGGCCCACAAACAACAAAGGTCACTCTAATATTCCTTCCCTACTCCCCCTGATTGCAAGGACGTGGCCGGCGCCGTTATTGATCTACAACATATAGAGTCACTGAAACTTGTACAATGAGAATGGACGGTCATTCCCAGCCCCATTCAGTTGATTCATTGTACAATTTCACTGATTCTGATCAATCACGGAGTGCAGTCAATCTAAGCTAAGCTAGCTATTGGTTATCCTATTTGTATCTACATATCTTTCATTATTGACTTTACATCATTTAATATTATTGTAAATTACATTTTATTATACTTAATTCTTAATGTTAGCTATTATGAGCGGCTTCAGGGAAGCATAGTGTCAGCTTGAAAAGAAATCTGAATCGTTCATTATCTGTTTTGTAAAAATCTTGTGTTTATTGTATCTTGTTACATGGCATTATAACGCATTTTCAATATTACATTACATTTAAATAAGTATTAACCCGGTTACACACATTTCAGGTCATCCAGGTCTTAAATAAGATGGGATCCGTTCCTTTTATCAACAGTTGTGATATTGCATCATATGCTGAAAATATATGAATTATCGCGTATTTCTGTTGTTCATTACATACCAGGTGAGGGCTTAATCATGTTTTGCCATCTAGTGTTTTGGTTTTGAGATGCTCGATAACCTTAGAGGGATCCGTTTTGCTTAATGAGCAGAACATCATGGGTTTAATCCCAAGCTCTCCCACAACATAACACAACACAAACATATCAAGTATCATTCTAGCTAAAAATATTTATTTGCATAATATAACCTGGAAATTTCAGGGTTACATCTTCCTTATTGGGAGCTGAGGAGACATAGAGCTGCATCATATTGTATGTAAAATAATTATTATTTTCATTGCGGAATACCAGTTTTTTTATCCATATAAATGTATTTTCATTATTACGTATTTTAATGTTCTGATATATTTCATTTCTCCATTACATATGTTTACTATATATATAAATAAATACTGGGTTGGGAGGGAGCATCAGGGTACCATTTGAACTGGAACTGGACGATTGGAGTGGTATGACAACCGGAGTCTAGGAGGGAATAAACACTATCATTTTCTTTATCCTACCGATTCGATTGTGATGGTGTGAATTCTACTCCAACAGTTTCATGGAGATTGACGCGCCCTTCTTAACAAACCATCCTGTAGGAAGCTTAATAAGTATTGCGAATTGCGTTATTCGATTTGTTGGATCGTATCGTTGGATGAGATTCTTAAATTCCCGTGGATTTCGCATAAGTGCCTCTGCTTACGGGTCCACCCCACCGTTTTTGGCCCTTCATACAGCGATATTGTGAATTCAGATCGGTAGCTCAAATTGATCTTGCTATTAAGTGGAGCTGCATACAAGACAAGATCTTCGAAGGGATGGTGGCTACCTTACATACATTACATACATACAATATCTACAAACCCGCACATCTTTGACTGTCGAGTTTGGTTTGATCTTCTTGTTAACATCTTGCTTCTGGATATTTGTGAACCTCAATTTTCATAAACTGCTCCCTTTTCTATACCAGTAAACGGCAATGTAACATGCGTGAGTCGTATTCACGATATTTTTTTAAGTGGCGAACTCTCATTTTTACCATGCTCATGCCCTCGATCACATTTCATAAGGGAAGCGTAAAAGAGAAAGAGATATCACATGAAATTATTTCTACTATACCTGTTTTCTAAGACATAGAGTAGGAGTTGTTCAACGAACGACCCGATGAAACAGCTTATAGAAGTTACATTCAAATTCAATGCCCTGTTTTTTCCTTGATTAACTTGAACTTCGATGAAATTCTTAAAACTTTCTTGATGTTCTTTGACCGTCTCTGATTTTGCCTTTTTTTTTCTGAAATTCTCAGATATTTCTTAAAGTTCCATTACTTTCCTAATGTTATTAAATTTTCGCTGTGTTTCACAGTCCATCCTAAAGTTTGCCAAAATGTCTTCACGTTTAAGGGACTTTTTGCAGAGCATCATTGAAATTCATATAATGTTGCTATAGTTCACAGAACTCTCTTGAAGTTCGTAGAACTTACCAGAACGACATTGAACTCCCCAGAAGCTCACAAAACGTCCCTGAAGTCGGCAGAATTTTCCTGAAGATCGAAGCACATCTTTAAAGTTTTAATAATTTTCCTGAAGTTTGTAGAACTTCCCTGAAGTTCAATAAAATAATCAGAAAGTTGTTGAATTTCTCTGCTTTATTGGAGGAAATTATTTAAAGTTTGCAGTACTTTTCTAAAATTCACTACAGTTCCCTATAGTTTGCAGAATTTCCTAGAAGGTCGCTGAACCTTCCTGAAAATTTCCATGGACAAAATATGGGAACTGCAATGAAGCTCTAGCAACTTTGTAGTAATTCAAGGTGAGGGCTACCTAAACTTACTGGACAAGAGTAACTAACCTCATGTGAGTTTCATTCCTGTATTATCGGCATTATCGGTTAAACGATTTTCAAAAAATATCGTAATGGTTGCCAGAGTTTATTTTTGATCTAGCCGTTGCGTCAAACATATCTATTTATTTTTAAAAATCCAAGCAAATTTTCCGCCGCTCAGGATGATTTAGTGGTAAATGCCACCTTCGTCAGCTGCTGAGTACAAGACACAAAACTTTCGGATACCTACTATCTCCTTTATTTAACTCCGGTAAAAATCTTTCAATGATCGTCGCTACTAAAGTGGCTTCATTTTTTTACAGAGTCGCTTTTCGAAGCACGACAAGCGAGCTCTCTATTTTCTTAATTTTTCCAGATTTTCTACACGATACATCCATAAAAAAAAACACTCGAAATTGGACGAAAATAAATGTCTACTATGGTAATGTGGCTGTCTCACACTGTCCTGCTTGCTTCTTTCTCTTTTACTATTATGAGGAAAGTTAAATTAAACAAGATATTGTGCTACGAACAAATATTTGTTGATTTATCACAAAGTCGACAAAATCAATATGGATATTACTTGGGAGTCAAAGAAAACTTCTTTAATGCCATTTGGATTAATGCAATCAACTTTTGAACCTTATTTGACTGCATTTGTTCAATTCGTAACAGTTGTATGGTCAATAGTCCATATACGCCTTCATAATCGGCTTTGTAAACTTCAAATCACTTGTTCTCAAAAAACCCAAGATGAAATATTTTAAAACCATCACAAATCAAATTGTTAGAATCAATACTAACATCCTGTGAAGAAAAATCTGAGGTACATGAATGTTGCAAAAAAAGTGCCTTCAGACATAGCGTGCGTCAGCTCGAAATCACCCCGGAACACAACGAAAAGAAAAGACAAAGCGGAAGATTTGCAAAACGATCCCGAAGTGCTGGAAGTGACGTTGGGAATGAATCTCATAAGCCAGCTACACGCCACTTTCAAGGATAAGCATGGCTCGGGTGCCATCTCCTTAGACGAACTAACCAATGAACGAACAAAGGTTTTCATGGCTACCAAAATGGCAGAACAGTTGTATTTGTCGTTCTTGGATTCCATGTACAGCTGCAGGGGGAAAACAAGATTTTATGAAAAAAAAAGATGCTCGATTGGCACAGCAAAGCGAAGGAAAAGTATCCCATTTTGTTCAAAAAGACCATCGAGGATTCCCCCAACCTGAACGAAATTATGGAAATGGAGTACGCCCTAACGGCGTACCGAAGCGAAATCAACGGCTGGGTTAAGCAAGCTCCGCAAGATCTGGCCTCGCATATGACTCGTCAAAAGCTAGCCGAAATGTATCCTATCATTGACGAAAAAGTCCTGGCAGAAATCCTACATGCCCACAAATTCAGCGACACTATAACCGTCCTAAACAATTCCATTCAGGAAGAGCTGAGAAACCAAATCGCCCGCGAACGGGAAGCGAACAGAAACCGAAAAACAGAAACCACTTCCTTCGTCCTCAACGTCGCCGCCTCCAACGGTCCAGCAGGTACCGTCATCCAGCGAAGACGACATCAATCTTCACCTGAAAACGGCCGAAGAATGTCACAATATGTCCCAGGACCACCAGGAACTGAAAAACGAATGCCACGAGAAAGCACGGAATGCCATTCAGCGGGGCATGGCCGGGGTGGCCAAGTACTATGTCCAGGTTACCCGACTTCATCGAACCAAAATCGATGTGTACATCAGTAAGGCCTCGAATGCCATCATGGAGGTGCACAAGCTGACGCTGAACAATGTAGACGTGTTGGATTTACACTATCTACACTCGGAGGAAGTGCTGTAGTGTTTAGAGATTTTCCTAACAGAGCACGCCAGAAAGCTGACCCACCGGATGCAGCAGTTCAAAGAACTGTTCATCATTACAGAACGCGAGTTGCTGCACTCGGCGGATGGCATACCGATCATCAAGCACCAGGTGATGGCTATGCTGTGGGACCTGAGCATTGAGGTAACAGGAAGCGATGGATCAAGATTCAGTAATTCATTATCATTAATTATTGTGTAAAAATACTTTTTATAACTGTTATACCAAAGGAGAGGGAAGATATGAGATGGATAATAACTAGGTAGGTCATGACTTTTCTTACACATTTCCTGTCAGTTGGTGAAAGGTCATTTTTGGATTCAGCTGCTGCACGGGTAAGTTGAACAATAATTAGCTGCACCGTGGGTGATTTGCCCATAGCTAATATCGGCTCATATCACTTTGTCGTGGTACGTTATGGGATGTAAGATCTACCACCGATTCCTAGTCTTGAGTACTTCAAACTAGGGGAACAGGATTTTTCAGTAATCAAAGGAACACATCTTAGTCCTTGTTACTTTTTATGTCTTGTTGATAGTGATATGTCCTCGGGTTGCCTGGATCGAGGATGATCTTGAAACAAGGAACAAAATGAGTTAGTTAGTCTTCACCTATGCGATTCCTAATCTTCTATTCGTTGTTGCCTAGTTTGAAGTGGTTAAGACTAGGGTTCTGATGCATGGTCATTATCGGTGTCATAGCTTATTTTTGTTGCTAAGGAATCCAATTTTGACTGACAAAGGGGCGCGCGTCTTTGGAGGGTGTTGGTATAAAGAGCGGGACCTTTCAATTAAAATCGATTCCTTGCGATGAAGGCAAGAATGACAACTGTATCAAAACCGAATACTTCATCATTTCTCAATAGTGATGGAGTAATACGACATGCACTAAACTAATGACACGGGATACATATACTACAATAGATCAAATTACTGGTCGCAGTGGTGTTCTGTCCCGAATTGAGGGAAAAAAAATCATAGGGGTACATATACATATTGCCCAAAACGCACGAAGATTGCGACTTAATCGTTTTTCTCAGGTACGGAAAAAAGGAAACTGTGGTCAAAACTGGTGCACTTACCCTATTATTGATTTGTTTTCTGTCGATCTTGTTTTCCGTACTGAGTACCAATGCTACCGACACCAGGGAGGCGCTACCACACCTGGACCCTACCTATCGACACATCAACTCATGAACCGGGCACCAAGTCAGAGATTTTATGTCTCAGAAAATCCCGTCGGTGATTAAACCCCATGCCCTTTGGAGTGAGGCAGTCGCGCTTACCACAGCACCACCAACACCGCTATTATTTTTGACTTGTGCACGTTGAAATCATTGAGACAAGTTCAAAAGAACGAGCTTATCATGTGCATAATCTTCTCCAAAGACACTGAATGTCCAAAATAGTCGGTTTTCACGTAAATAATTAAACGCACGGTTTAGAACTTTTAAACCACTGTGCACCGTGGCGATAAGAACACTCCATAAGTAGCGTGGTCGTAGCTTCTACCGAAACAGTTCAAAATGGGAAATAAACGGAATAGCATGGTCCTGCTTGCAATTACGTTAATCGTATCAATTCGGGCAGCTGGTAAGTAAAGCACTGGTCAGACTGAGCAGTTATAACATGATGACATTTTTCTTATCGATAATAATTATAAAATGTTAAAACTCTGTTTATTTTTATCCACAGCGAGTGACCATCATCAATGTGGAGTTGCGGCTGTAGTGCCCCAAGAGCTGGTGATGCATGCAACACCTTCGTTGCTTGGTCAGTGGCCCTGGCATGGGGCTCTGTACCATCGTATCAATCGTAACAAGCCGGCGTATGCTTGTGGACTTACCGTGGTCAGCAAATTCTACACGATCACCGCCGCTCATTGCACCTACCCACGTGAAAAGCATACGAAGTTGGTACCGTCTGAGATGTTGGTATACCTGGGAATCTCCAATATAGAGCTTCCAGGCTTTTTGCTTCGTCAATTTGCAGTCAAGTCCATTGTGAGACATGAAAACTATCAAACCGATGATGTTCGCTATGATATTGCGCTGCTCAAAGTTGCTCAGCCTGGAATCGAGTTCAATAACTACATACGCCCAATCTGTTTCTGGAGAGGTGACGCTTCGGAGGCTGCAATTGTTGGAAAAAATGGATACTCACCCGGTTGGGGACTGAATGAAAATGGCGAACTGCCCCCCGAGCTGCAGCATGCCGTAATGCCCATTGTTTCCAGCGAGCACTGTCGAAATTCAGATGTACCTTTCTACAGTAATTCTCTGTTCGACAGGATGGCGTTTTGTGCTGGTTTCCGAAATGGAACATCAGTTGGAAGAGGCGATAGTGGAGGTGGGTTATACATCCAGAAAAATGGCGTGTGGCTTCTCCGAGGAATTGTAAGCCATGGAAAATTAGGAAGAACCAATGTGGATAGTTATAGTTATGCGGTTTATATGGATGTTGCATATTTTCTACCGTGGATACAACGAACGTTAGATATTGTGATTGATGATGATGAATTTGCAACATGTGGCAAGCGTAATGAAGCTCCTCTGAAAGCAGATAGTGATCGTCGTCCTTGGCCGTGGCATGGCCAAGTGTTCCGCAATGGATCGGAACCAGAACTTTTGGGAGACGTTGCCATTATTAATCGAAGTTTCGTTCTTACACAAGCCTCCATATTCAACCATTTGGATTACAAGCATCCCCTACGGCTGGTGGTAATGTTCCATTCATCGAGAAAAAACATTGAAAAAGTGGTGCACAGTGTTCAGGTGAAGGTGATCGCTCCGTTCAAGACAGCAGAATCTCCTGCAAATGGCAATAATGTTGCAATACTAGAGCTCCTTGTACCACTGTTATTCTCCGAAAACATTCGACCAATCTGTCTGTGGCAGGGAGCTGCTTCGGTTAGGGGGGCTCACCAAGCCACAGCGTATGTAGGGGATTTGAATGTTATTCCACGCCAAGGAAGATCATGTGTTCATCAGCCATTAGATGTTCTCGCTAACTCATTTTGTGTTTCAATGACCAAGAAAAACTACGTTAAAAATTTCCACAATATATTATACATGCACTATAACGGAACATGGTACGCAAGGGGAATCTCATATGGGGCAACCAAAAGCGGTAACGATTATTATCTACACTTCCTGGACTTGGCATTTTATTCCAATTGGATTAAGACGAGAATGGCGATTGGCTTTGAAATGCTGTTACCACTAAGCACTTGTGATGCCAGTTTTGGACAAGAATGGAATCTTCAACTACGGGCACAATCAATACTTTGCCATGGAACGCTAGTGACACCCTACTTGGTGTTGACAACAGCTACATGTATCAACGACATTGATCCTAGATATCCTCTGTGAGTATACAATTCGTAATTCCTATGAACACCAAATGCTCTTGTTCGACTATTTAATTAATCGATAAAACATTTTCAGTCAACTTGGCAACACCAACAGTTATAAGTATGTCAACGTCGTCCAACGTCATACTCATCCACTCTTCCATGAAGTACACTTAACGAACAATATTGCTTTTGTGCAACTGGACAAACCCTTTGACGCAGAACCCATTTGCATTCCCAAGAAAACCATCACCGACCAAGAATTCCTATTCAACAGTTGGAACGGGGAAACAGAGCTAAACGAAACTCTCCGGGTAACGAACGTCACAAGCTGTGCAGAACAATGGCTATCCCATGGCTCCTATGTCAACACTGAAGGTGGACACATCTGCGGCCAACTTCCCGAACCGGCCATTGAATTCAATTGTTACGACAATCTTATCGGTTCTCCCCTGACATACCAGAAGAACAATCAAAGATTTTTGCGTGGAATTCTGGACTTTGGTAAAGTTGACCATTGTGCAGAGGAGGGTCCCCCGGAGGTTTTCCACGATCTGACTTTCTACCACAATTGGATTCTCGAAGTGTACAAGAAAGCAACTCCGACTCGTATTGAAGAGGACGTCAATCCATTAGCGGCCTACGAAAGGACTGAGAACAATGCCGATTTCTTTGATAGTTTGAAACCTCAAATAGGGTTATTCGAAAACATTCTAAAACAAACAATGAAGGACCTCGAAACGAATAGACAAGTCTCACCTTTTATAAATGCGCTAAAAGTTTTAACGACTAATGGAAAGTAAATTTGTCAACAAAGACAAAATTGTTTAAAGAATAAATTTACATGCTATTAATTATGTAGCTCGTTGTAATTTTTTGAAGGAAAAAAGATTTATGAACCAAAGGCTATTGAAAATCAATTTCAAGTATACCATGAACATACTGAACCATATTTTTTAAAGAATTCTTAGGAGCATAGTAAAATTCAAAGCAAATTCTGAGACGAATTTCCAGGGAACATTAAATTTTTGAATAGAGCAGTTCCATATCAAATGACGAATCCGGAAAACTCGGCTTTCTTCGATTTGAATGAAGCTTTGCATAATTGTTTGTTTTGGGAAATAATTCACATTTATGCAAAAACTTCGGCCATTTTGGCGTCTCTGAAATTTTTCAAAAAATTGTAGCACGGAAACGACACTTCTGATTAAAATGACGTCTTAGACAAAGTTGTAGAGAAAAATAATGTTTTTTTTTTCTGGGAAAAATATACCTACACAAAAAGTTAACGATTTACATAGTAGGAGATAGTTAACGACAAATATCAGACTTAAAGTGGTCATTAGACTGATGCAAAATTTGAAATTTTCGCTCCACAGTGTTCAAACGGTTTGAAATCGGGTCCTGATTAGCCTCCGAAAGTTTAAACTCATTTGATAACAATCTGACTTGGCACAAACCATTTGAAGTTTATATGGAAATTACTATGGGAAAACAAAACTTTTTGTTCATTGTCTCCTAGCCTTTTTACATATTGTTCTGTTAACCAATTCTATTGCTATCCTTATGGGAATTTTTATCAGTTACAACTTTGCAGAAAATCGCTTTTCAGCCAAATGTCAAATAGTTATTAATTGTTTAAGAGATTGATAATCTTATGGCAAGATTAAGCAACTGTATTGTGGGCATCACTGTATTCTGTAGTGTGACATAGTAGCCATGACTTTTGTCCTCTATTCTTCGCGCCATAAACACCAATGTTGCCTGCTGAACAGTTGCTTGAGCATAATCATAAGACATCAGTGACTTGAATCATTAATACATTTTGGAACCGTTTGAGCACTGTGGAGCGAAAATTTTTAATTTTGCATCAGTCTATTGGTCATTGTATACGATAGATGAGGAGATGAAAGTATTGAGTTAATACCATTCAATTAAAATATTCATATATAGCTTGAGTTTAGAGAAATTGAGTGACTAAAATCGAGTTGTTTGTATTTTGTTATATTTTATTAATTATATCAGTCATAACATTTGATAGCGGCGCAGAGGCGTTTGTGGGCAGACTTTCTGGGGCCCTTTACACGCGAACCGGGGTGCGCCTGCGCAGACCAATACCATTTTCGGAAAGGTTATAGTTGCCCCTATCCGATTATGTTGTTGGTTTGCGTGGGCGTGCTTTGGTTCGTATGTGAGAGGCCTTAGGGGGTTTGTTTACAAATGCCTTTTGTGCCGTTGTCAGGTGTTACACCTGATATATCGACGAGATGGATCCGGAATTTTGACGTCTGTGTTTTAAGAAGATACCTGCGATGTGTCGAAGAAAGTCCACGAAGAGACCAGTTGCTGTTGGTACAGCTCCACTTGGTTATTGGAGTGAGATCATTCCTTTTTATTTCTTTATACAGTAACCCCTCCCTATTGTTAGGACATCAATTCAGCTTATCGTTTACCAAAACGAACCCTGCTGCAAACCCTACCCTCTTATCCAACATTCCAGTGATTCCTCGTGGAAGTGCAGAGGATTTCTCGGCTTCCATCAAAGCGAGTGTCACGTCAACACATTCCTATCCATTCTTTACTTGACCTGCGTTCGGGCGCGGCCGGTGCTGGTCTTGTCTAGTTTGAGATTACCAGTTTTTACACATTGAGGATGATTGCTAGTCCCAAGCATCGGTTGGTTCTCTGCGTAAGTACAGCTGATCTGACAATAACAGAGTAGCAACCGTGGGCGGTCAATCATGCTCATTCTCATGATCTATGCATATAACTATTGTACAGGTACCCTTTTTAGACTAGATGCTACCAACGACCAATGATTTATAAATAACAAAACTTGTTTATTTTATTTTTTGTATATTTTACGTTTCACTACATATATAAATTATACATTGCATGATATACTGTTACTATTAGCTTAATATTTCAGTTTACCCAAGCAAGTAACCGAAATTAATATTAAGCTGATGAAGCAGAGGAAATAACAACATTAAATAATATTATATGTAGGGGAATTTACGTATTCTCGTCAATCTAAGCAGCGTCCGCACTTCTATTAGCATTTTCACAGCGTCACGCACATATATGACGTGTCTGTTTGTTTCAATTCATCTGCTGCTTGCTTCTCTATCCATTCCAATCGACAGAATTCTTCAAAACTGTTTGAAAGCGTTTTTACAACGCTCTAAACTTCTCAGGTGAGTGTGACTATTGTCGGCAGCCTCTTTTTCTTCGGCAACCTTCCCATTAGAACTGCGTGTTAACCAGCTGTTCTATTATCGGCAACTCGAAATCAGCCCCATTTTGTTTTACGTATGCTTCATTTGAAGAAAAATCTGGCATAAAAGGATTGCTCGGTCCTACAAATATAATCAGATTGAAGCTGAAAGACTAAAGAATCATTTGGATACATTCAGGGAAGTGTGTTGATGGTAAAACATAGTGAAATTAACGTTTAAATTTTGATTGCCGAAAACAGTCAATGGGTGCCGAAGCCGACATTTACCCTATATATTTATTAAGCAGGTTATTTCTCGTCATGTTAGTTACTCATCACAATTTTTAGCATTATTGCTAGTATCATTCGAGCAAAATATATTTAATTGCTTAATATATCCTATACATTTCAGTGTTGCATCCACCTGCCATTGTGAGCTGAGGAGGTATTGAGCTGTATCTTATTATATGTAAAATACTTCTTCCGTTTTTGGCCCTTCATACAGCGATATAGTGAATTCAGATCGGTAGCTCAAATTGATCTAGCTCATGGTGGATATATAAATGGTGATACAGCTTTGTCACTATATAGGCGAGGAGGTCGCGGGGGGGGGGGGGAGGGAAAGTGCGGTTTTAGAGCAAATTGTAAACAAACTCGGTCGCTGTCCCATACAAAAATCCAACATGGCTGAATCATGAATTTGACACATTAGAACACCTATATGTAGCCACCTTGATCTAGCTGTTAAGTGGAGCTGCACGCTAACCTCCAAGTACCCATTAATGAGTAAAAAAGTACCCATTTCGAAGAAAAGTGGCTTAACTCATGAAA